CCAATCTCCCGCTTCTTCGCAGAGGGTTCGCCCCCATGTTTGCCGGTGTTTACCCATGTGTTTTTGCGTGGGCCACCTTTAACAAACTGGGAGAGTTCCCCCTGGCGAATAAGACGCTCGATGGCCTTCTTCAGTGTGATGCAATCGTCGGTGTTGTGCGACGAGTTCTTGTGGAACCGGCAGTATGTGCCGCCCTGCTGGATGGCAAGGACCTCCTCGGCCGGCCGAGGAGCCTGCTCGATGAGGCCATGCTTCTCGGCATAGTCGAGGATGATGCCGACCGGGTGAGTGAGGGCAACCCCCGGCCGTTCCAACCTTGGTCGCCAGTGGCGATCTTTCTTACTCTGTCCACCAGAGCCGTGGCGGCCCTGGGCACCCTGGCCGGTCGGGGACGGACCCGGGGCCGGCGAAGGATTTGTCTTCTTGGAGGGATGGCCCCCCTCTTTCTTGTGATTGTGGAGCTCGTCGGCGTCGGCGTACAAGCCTCCGCGCTGGAGCGCCTTGGCGTACGACCTCGGAGGGTCGGTGATGAGGCTCCTAGCGTACGGGGAGCTGCGGAGGGCTCCCTGATACAAGGCGAGGAGGGTGCGCTCGTCGGCCCCCTCGACTTCTTCGGTCTCCCTCGTCCAACGATCAATGAATGAGCGGAGGGACTCATCATGATGCTGCTTGACGGAGAGGAGGTGGGTGAAATACTTCTTCGCACGCTTCCTCCCGGCAAAGTGGGTGAGGAAGCGTTGGGCAAGATCCTGCCATGAGTCGATGCTCCCTTCGGGGAGCGCGTTGAACCACTCGTACGCTGGCCCCTCGAGAGTAGAGAGGAACCAACGGCAGAGATATTCATCCGACGCGTTCACCATCAGCATGGTTTTCTTATAGCGGCTGAAGTGCTCCTGGGGGTCTGATCGGCCGTCGTAGGACTTGATGGCGTTTTCCCTGTACTTCTCCGGGATGGGGGCCGAGAGGACCCTGTTGGTGAAGGGGGTCCTGGTCCTGACCTGGATGATAGGGTCACCTCGCCCCTCGGCCAACTCCCTCTCCAGGGCGCTGACTTTGTTCATGAGCGCGTTGAGGCCGGGGTTATTGGAGGCGCCGGCCGTAGGGATGTTGGTCGACTCCTTGGCCTCCATCTGTGCCAACCTCCTTTCCAGCTGGGCGATAACCTCGTCCCGGGGGTCCCTGGCGGCCGCAGCGGCGCCCGGCTGGTTCCTCATGCGCTCGTCGTGAGCCGCATTGATCTGGTGGCGCACGTCGTCTTCGTGCAGCTTCCCCTTTCCCTTGTCCGGGCGGGGCTGGTCCGCTGTCCGGGACACAGACCCCAAACTTTCCCTTGGCGAGCCAGGCCGACGCTCGCCAATCCGTCCCGCCATCCTCCCCGAAACCGGACGACGGCGCGTGTCACCTAGCCTGTTGAAGGCAGAGGCTTTTCCACGCGCTGGGGTCTGCCCGAGCCGAAGAGGGGAAGCAGGGTGGGAGTGAGACGATGCCGTGTCCTGGGCCATCACCCCCTCATCGTTGCCTATCTGGACGGCCAACGGTTGGGGCTGAGGAGGTGGAGTGACGTTCCCCCCCGGTCCTTGGCAAGAGTGCGCTGAGGACGGTGGGGTTCTGAGCCAGGCTGGCGATGATGACCGACAGCGCGGCCTGGACCTGTGGATCCACGGACGGAGAGGCCGCGGCCATAGGTTGGGCCGGGGCGTGGTCCGTCTTCTCAGCTCGTTTCTTGTCTAAGCCGATGCGGGCATCGGGGGCTCCGCCGTTGAGTTGGTTGCAGAGGTCCGCCGTGAGGTTGAAGGCCTCCTGGAAGACGTCCCCTCCGGCGACCTGGTCGGCCGTGGCGTCCTCATCGTGCTCCCTGGGCTCTTGGTCCTCTGGGATGGCCTTGCTGACGAGGTTGCGGTTTGATTTAGTTCTTCCCATGATCAGTGGTTAGCTGCGCTTGGTAGCGACGAAGGGTGCTAACTTGATTGTTCTAGCTCTCAACGAGAGCACCAAATGATAGAGTATATCTAGAGAGAAGTGAGAGCTAGAGAGAGAAGTGCAATATATGCTTCAATAGAATGAATTTGTAACCCCTATAATTATTCCCAAGGGGAGTATTTATAGAGAAAATACGGGCTGGGCTCCCAAGCCTTGGGCTTGGGAGGCCCATTTACAACTGGACCGCTACTGGGCCGAATACAAAGCCACTAATGGGCTGTACAAATGAGTAAGTGTAGAATCCGGTTCTGTGAGGTCTTCGTGGCCGACGAGGGCGTGGCCGACGAGGGCACGGCCGACGAGGGCGCGGCCGACGAGGGCACCTGGGTTCCTTGGCTTCAGGACCATAATCTGAGTTGGCACCTTTTCGGCCGACGGGGGTCCCTTGGCCGACGTGGGCGCCACTCAGTGTCTTGTGCTTTCTGTTCTTCTGGGTATGTGGGTCCGGGGGCTCAGACTCATATACTCCATCATGTTTGTTTCTGCCATTTCGATCAACAACAAAAAAGAACCGAGTATCTTTTAATTTAAATTTTATATTAAACGATTCAGCTAATACGTAGTAGAATTTAAAAGGTTGTATTCAATAGAAACTGGACATGTTACTCGGTTTATTTTGCTCCCAAAATAGAAAGTCTCTTTTTCTAGTTCGACTCTCAAAATTGATTCGGTCATTAATTCAAGTTCATGAGCTTATAAATACATCAACTTATATTTATGTTTGAATATTATGATTGTCTGATCTGGTAAACTGGTCTGATATGGAGATAACCTACGCATACGGAAAAATTGTGGGAAGGAAGGCAAAAATTATGGCTTAGTACATGATGAAAATAAAGGACGTGTTTGACATGTAACGGTTAGCTGATAGTGAATTATGTTAGTAAATTGTCAATAGCGGATTCAATCCGTGAATTTGACTAACGAAATAGGTTGGCAGATTGCCAAAAGATGTTCTATAATTCAACTGTTTGGCCATAACAATTAGTATAAAAGGTCATATTTCAAAATGTTAACCCAAAACTCTCTTATTTGCATCGTTTTCATTTCAACAGTTCCGTCCAAAAACGCTCATATTTGATAGGACCGAACAACTATATATTAAACAATATTTTCACTTGTAAAAAACGCTAAAAGGAGTCAAACCGCCATTTTTTGACTGAAACGTCATTTTCCAAACATCCGAAAGAGTTGTTTGGTAGGAGGATGAGCTCAAAGTGGTTATTAGTATTTTGATTATGGTGAGATTAATATCTACATATATATTTCTTTTTTGTTATACATTTTTTTGGTGTATTTTTATTTATAAATCGAGTTGTTAATAAAAATAAAAATACTTTTATATTGTTAAAATTATCAATTAGTGAATAACAATATTTAAAGTAGTGGGCAATTAACACTTCTCTTAATAAATTTTGCATTTTTAAATCACTAAAATTGTTTAAGTAGTTGTTCTAATTGCATTAACAAAAAAATACTACCTCCGTCCCTTAAAACTTTGTCAAGTTTGACTAGCACGAAAAATAATAAAGTAAAAACAGTATGGTTGAGGTTTGTGAAGAGGATAGGGAAATGACAGGAACCACAAAATAATTGATTAAATGAGAAAGTGACAAAGTTTTTTGGGACGTCCCAAAAAGAAAATATTACAAAGTTTTAAGGATGGAGGGAGTAATGGATACCTTAAAAGTCATCTAACAGGATATTAACTTATTATAAACAACCATCTAATCAAACATCATATAACAAGATGCTAAGGATGTTTTTACTTGTACTGTAATTTGCTGGTCTGGTCTGGTTTGATCTGGTCTGGTCTGAAATGATCTGGTCTGGTTTCTTTGTATTTTTATAACTATCCAAGTCTGGTCTGGTCTGGTCTGGGACGAATTACAGTCCAAGTAAAAACATCCTAAGACTATCGGTTAATCAAAGGGAGATTTCCAAAATAGGAGTAAATGGAGTTTGGAATTCCAAAATAGGACTGCTATGTTTTTATTCCCGAAATAAGACTAACATGACAGTATTTACTGTCATCTTGTAGGCGCGACTGCCAAATAGTTGCAGTACAGTGTATTTAACATGACAATATTTATTACTCCGTATAATTAATGGCAATATTTTTCAATCATGACATTATTTTTCAGACATGGCAGTAACAGTTCCTATTTTGGGAATAAAAAACATAGTAGTCCTATTTTGAAATTACGAACCTCATTTACTTAATCAAAATAGCCAACAAAATCGCTACTATCAATCAACTAACACAATCAGCTAACAGTCAACAATCAATTGTCAAACACCACCTTCCAGTATGGCGACTAGGCATAGTGACTAAAGTAACATTTGTCAATAAGTTTTATTTCAAAAATATTTAAAGAAAAATATCTTGATAAAATTAGCACTAATCGTGTTACCCTTTTTAATAAGAGAAACAAAGGAAATTAAATTTGGCTCTATTTCTTTGCTACATTAATTTGGAAAGGCTCAGCGCAACCTTCACAATTTAAAAGTGCAAATTCATATGGATAATAATACACCCACATAATTGACAAATTTGATCAAATATCTTGATTATTGATTACTATATCTATTATTTAAAATAACAACCCAGACAAATCAATTAACTATTAAAGGAAAATAATGGTCTATTAAAGGAAAACAGTGGTCCTGGTTAATAGATTGTATAGTGTTTAATGGTCTGATCCTGTTTATATGGAAAAGCTGTTGTTCATTGAATAAATGGTGATGAATTTTACACTACGCTTAGTGCTAAAATGTTCTCTTTATGAATTATGATTATAATAGCCCCTCAAAGTTCAACTTAATAATCACACAACCACAATTAATTACTTTATTTTTTAGTTGCAATAGTCAACATTTCACATTTGTCAACGCACGTATTTGACCGCAATTATATATTCAATTCTATTAGTAAAAAATATTGAAAATCAGATTTTGAATATTTGTAATGAGATGAATTTAACAATATTTTTTAAAAAAAAAAATCATAAAATAATAGCGTAAAATGTAGTCAAAGTAAAGCATGTGAATAGTGTAAAATTCAACATGTTACGATTCAAACGGAACGGGGGATAGTATTTAATTTTAGCCTCTGATATCATGTAATTTTTAGGTTGAATCTCATTCTTAATTCTCTCACGGCACACCATTCTTACTACAATCTTACCCTCTATATATCACACATATGCGGTACTATTCTTCATGAAGAGACAAAATCACGTGAAAGCCAAAAAACTTGCTAAAGCTTCTTTCAGAGAGTTGTCCAGTCTTCCTCTGCTGGGTTGCTTTTAGATGTATATTGTATAGAACCGCACTTTTGCTTTCAGCCCTTTTTTGTATATTAGATTGAAACAAGTACATTTTACTTGCAAGGTCGAGCATATGTCCTTCTGAATGAAAGAATAAATTATCATCTCATTAACTAAACACCATAGAGTGGCAAACATATTTGAATGAAAGAATAAGCTAGGCCGCCTGTGAATATATAGCTGTCTACTCTGTCCAGTATTCCACCTGTGCATTCCAACAATTTCTCCAAGTTAAAAAAACACATAAACCGGACAAGACTCAACATCTAATGAATGAGAGTACATGAGCAGAACGGTCTTTTACCATGTCCAGGGATGAGGGATCCCGAGTCTTTCACACCGGCATCACGTTTGATCATCGACTCCGTAAGGTCACCAAAAACTGATCCAAAAAAGTTTACAATCCCAAAAGCCAATGCACTGGAAAAAACAACTAATTCAAAACTAATGACTTTGAAAAGAAAAAAATGAAAAAGATGACAAAACTGTTGGATACCACCTCAGCATAGATGTGGGCCAGCATAGTAACTTTGACAATAGTGCAGTAGTGGTTATGGAACCAGCAAGACCTGCTAGAGCCCCTTCCCAAGTCTTCTTTGGGCTAACAATTGTAAGCGGAGTCCTACCAAAAACCTGCATAGGGGGGCGTCTGGTATGATGCAAAATAAAGAATTAACGCGCACAGGGTAGGGGCTCTTTGCTTTGATTTCTTAAGGCAAAGTGTAGCATGCATTTTAAATACATTTGCAATGTACTCCCTCCGTCCCATAAAATTCTTCCAACTTTCCTTTTTGGGCCGTCCCAAAAAAATCTTAGCACTTACCATTTTTGGACAATTTGTGTGGCTCACATTCATTTCACATTTTTCTTACACGACTACAACCATAAATTTCCACTTTATTCCACTTTCTTAATATGTGTGCCAAGTCAAAGTTGGAACTACTTAAAAGTTTTTATTGGGGCGGAGGGAGTACCATGTAAAATGTGTTATGGGGGAGGTGGGGTCGTGGAAATATTTTAAACTATGGAAAATAAAGGAAACAACTACTTTGCATGCAATTTAAAATGAAAAAGGGTTTCCACACTGAACCAAAAAATGCATAATTAATTTACATGTACAGTAATTGCATTCCGCACACTTCCCTTGCAAAACTTTTGTGTGCAAGCTACCAAAGATCCCCTTATGATCATCTCATTATTCCATTTTACATCCAAAACCACAACCATATATCCCCATAAAACAGATGCCAGAACCTTGTTAGCGCTTCATACCTCTTTAAACTCAAGACATTGAGTTGCATAATGTGAATTATGTGAAACCATAGGAGTGTCAAATCTTGATAAAAATAATTTAAACAATAACAAGATTATAATAGGTTAGGAGGATCTATGATTGTCAAAGATTGGTGATTATATTGAAACAATATATATGGTAAGATCATCTACTTAAAAAATTATTCTCCCATCTGAAGATATTTAAATGAATAGAGTCAAAAACATCAAATTACCTTCCCGCCAAAAAAGGCAAATGTATCCGCTGCAATGATACTACTAAAAGAAATCAAGGAAGCAACAAGACCCACTGTCCACTGAGTCTGCCCTCCCAATAAGGCTGGCCAGGATTCTGCTATTTCTGCATTAATTCAAATTTATAATACTCATCCTACAAGGTTCGCACCAAAATTCAGCAAAAGAATGACATTAATAATATCTTATAGCTGATAATCCCTACTATTTTATGCTATTTACTAGGTTGGATGAGAGTATGACTTTGGAGAGGGCAAAGTGGAGGGCACACATTCGTGTGGACGATTGATCTCTTTTCTATTTTTCCTCTCTTTTTCTTTTATCATTTATCTTCTTTGTCTTTTTATGTTCTTATGTTATTTTTTACCTTCTAGCTTTTTTAATGCTCTTTTATCCTTTTATCTTTTATATTTCTTATATTTTTATGTTATTGTTATCTTATACTCCCTCCGTCCTGAAAAGGTTAGCCAAAGTTGACTTTCATGTGGATTAATAAAGTAAAAACTGTGTGGTTGAAATTTGTGCAGAGGAGAGAGAATTAATTTTAGCCGCATATTCCTTGCTTTAAACGGAAATGGCAAATCTTTTTGGGACATCCAAAAAAGGAAATTTGGCCAACCTTTTCGGGACGGAGGGAGTATTTATTTATCTTAATCTTATTCGTTTTATTTTTTTTTTCTTCTTGTTTGTCCTCTTTTTGGCATCGATATCATGGATCAATTCATGTTAGCCGACCCCAAAATCTTTTGGGATTAAGGCTTGGATGTTGTTGTACTAGGTGGAGGGTTCAATCTACAGTATGCTTAACATCCATCGAAGTCAAGCGAAACAATGTCTACCTCAAAATCTTTATTGCAATGAGAAAACTATTATAATTGGAGACAATATGAAAGTAAAGAAAGGCTTGCAAAACAGGTAAGATGAGAAAATTGGCATCAGAAATCAAGAAAGAAAGTACAAACAATATAACTTCAGGCTCATATGAAAAGAGTTATTTGGCTGAAATGACTCTCTCACCAAAATTGATTGCAAACAATAAACACTGAGAATGCGTTTTCCAAATATCCCAAACAAATTCTCATCAAGCATATCAAACTCAATGAGTCAAATGCTAGTTTTAAATGCATACATTTTGTTAATGAATATACAGGAGTACGCTAAAGAATATAATACAGGAATACACTATAGAATGATTGTGATGTGTGACAAGAATCCTTAACAATATGTTCTCCAAACCTCAAAATGTATTACTCAGAAATAATGCAATAGCCAAAAAAATCATTTAAAATTAGTTTTTACTTGTATGTAGGGCTGGCACTGCTAAACTGCATCTCAACTTAACCCAGAAACAAGGAAGATAGCCACAATAGAGCAGCCCAAACATAGCACTAGCAAGCTGAGGAAAACGGGGAATTTGCCTTTGTAGAAGCAATGATATGGCAACAACAAAGGCTGCACAAGTCAATGAAACATCAATTTGCCCCAAGAATCTGACAAGGTGCAAGAAACTCCAGTCAGTTAAGGGTATATTAGGATCACATATACTACCAGGGAAAGGAAAAACATGCTATGGGAAGTTGCATAACCAAGAAAAAAGCAAAGCAATACGAAATACGATTTTAAAAAAAAAATCTTAGACAGAGTACTACGTATTTAGATTTCAGAATATTTATATATATAATACAAATAAATAATATGAAGAGTTCAAACAAATATATGAAATAAATTTATAGGGTATGTGCGTATCCTTTATTTTCTCACAAAGTATCATTCCCTCTAATATTCCTCTCTACTTTCTTCCATAATTTCTTTCCCTGATATTTTTGGGGTTCAAAACTGACACTAAAAAGACCTTCAGTAATAATATCCAGAAAACCTATTAGAGTGAACATGTGTTTTTCGAGTTTGGGCCACTGAACGGATCAAGAAGCAATTCAAAATGAAGACACGACGTCACACAAGTATGAAGGACTATGATAAGCCAAGCAAATCCTGATAACTTTCTAACACTGAGTCAATGATACTTGATGCACTATTGCACATGTTGTAGTGTCACTCTATCAAAATAAGTAAATAACATTCTTAAACACAATGAACACATGCATGCATGAGCTTTCTGCTATATACTCCGGTATATAGCACCCCCTCCAAAGAAATAGTAATCTTGTATGAGCAAGATACAACATTTTAGTTTCAGGAGGTAAAAATGTTTTAAATCATGAATCATACTTACACACCAGTGGATCTAGGGGCTGAGCAGGTACCTGCGCCCCTCCTGTGAAGACTGACGACTGTAGGGTATATTTACATATATTTTCAGTGAAGCACCCCTTAATCCTGGTTTTAATGAATAGAAATATCGTGACACTATTGAGTTTAATCTTGCACATAGTGAGATAGTTGACGCTTCTAATAGCATACACTGGGTCGTGGTTTCAATCCTTGTAGGTGGCATTTTACCCTTTTTTCCGGAACCCATTTAACTTTTCAGGCTCATAAGAATATAAATTTTGTATGTGGCAAAACAGACAGTATCTTTTGGCTAGTTGCTTCATCACCTTCATGGATAAATAGACTGAAGATCTTGAGTCTGTCCTTGTTAAAATCTTAGATATTTGTTTCATACAAAGTTTGAAATCTTAGATTCATTTTTTTCATTTCTACCGAAATAAAAAATTTATTCAAAGCATTCTGCTTCACTTTTTCTTGTTTTAACTTCAAATTGTATCTCATATACAAAACTTTAAGAATACTTGCAAAAATTCTTAGGACTTAATTTGAACTTAAACATTTATTACTTTTTTCTTTAAATTCACATTAAATATAAAATAAATCTTAAAACAATACTTCCCCAAGTTCTAATTAACTGTCCAAATAAGATTTTCAGTGTGTAAGACGAAAATAGTAGTAACAGTGAACAATAGAAGACAGATAAAGAAAAGGTTGAAAATGTGAAAAGGGTGAAAGGAATAGGCTGTTTGTCTAAAGGGTAACAGTTGCCACATAAAGAAATGAATCAAATCATTATAAACTTTCCAAAAAGCATGTGGATCACATAACAACAAATAAAGGGAGTTTTACACATGACACAAAAAACAAATATGAGGTGTACACAATATGCATTCTGAGAAACCGCCTCAACTACGCAATGCGCAATTTTGAACTTTGAACGGAGTATACATGTTCAGGTTTAATGGAAACATGGCATGCCGATAAAATAGCAGAAACCACCTCAAAAATGTGTTCTGGTTCCACCACTGTACTTACATTTTGAAAGCCTTTGATATTTTAACATAGTTTGTCATATCAATTGATCTAACAAGACTCTTTTGGGACCAAAAACATTTGAAAAAAGACTATGGAATAGGCATAACTAACTAAGTGTGGATCACGTGATACAGAACTGTTCTGTAATGTAAAAATTGTTGATTTTGGAAAGGTAGAGATGCTACAAGTTGTTAAATTGGGCCTAACTCACCAGGTGAGGATCCTCAAAAGACAAGAGGTGAGGTTTCCTCATATTTATATTTTAAACCCATATCTAGTGAAGAAACAAATTATGCATTGGTAGTAATGGGCCAAACTGATCTCAAGCACGCTAAACCTAAGGCCCCAAACCATGGATACCAAACAATCAAACAAACAAACCACAATTGGACCAGGCGGTGAAACCATGTTAATTAAAAACTAGGCTTAGACACATGTCTTGTAAACATCCGAAGTTGGACACTAATAAAAATCATAAATCATGTCTATGTTTTTAAATGCTCTTATATTTAAACTAAACTAAGCACATTTAAGCTTGCTTGCTACACTGTTTTGCAAATGCGATGCAAAATTATATTCAATTGATCAAACCGAACTCTTTTTCTTCGGTCATAAAACAACTTTTGAAACGAGTTTTGTATTACGCAATCCTCACCTGAAATGAACTAAGAAACAGAAATCAAATTCCAAATTATTGTTCGAAGGAAGTTAAGCATGAAGTCAAGAAAATAAATATTGAATACAAAATTATAAAATTAGCGGATTAAATCAATTTGAGTGTTGATGACAGATGGTATCATTTCAGGCTATTGTTTAGACATCAGCTTGTGAAATTGTTTATCTAGAATCATGAATAGGTTCAAAAACCTCTTACAGTGTAAATGCAGGCATAACGGCACAGATCAAAGGGACAAGCCGTGAAACATTTAGAGGCAGTGAGGCATTTCCAGCAGCAATGTCATGACTCCTAACCAATTCAAAGTACTCTCTAGCACCCACAAGCACAGCAGCTGAAAGGGCCAGCGTGAAAACCCAACCTCCAGCCAATACCACGCCTCCAGCACAAACCCCAATGCCTAGGCCAAAGACTACCCTTTTAATCAACTGGCTTGATTTTTCCCTTGCTAGTGAACTGGAGGCCGGTTTCGATTGCTACAAAAACACACCTCTCAGTAATTGCAAATTAGTAATCTAAATACGGGTAAACAAGGCATATGGTGAAGTACAAAATATGCGAATAAGTGAATAAATTCAAATTTATCTCCAAAGAATACCATTATGATGCATATTCAGAAAATAAGCGTGTTCTTTGTTTTATTATAAGGGGTATTACTTTATGAAAAAAATTATTTTTTTCTGGAATTTGTAACAGAAAAGAAAGAAAGCTTCTTCTTTTTCTTAAGGGCATGTTTGGAGGGGAAGTCTTTGGAGGACTTGGTCTATATCTTGATAAATATTTCATAGAGAAAAAATAGCTGTGCTTGAAATGGTATATGATTGTGTCAGAGTGTGTGCATATCTTACGGTTGTGTCATAGTTGTGATAGACTTATTCTATATCATCACAAGTTAAGTTAATCTTACAATTGTGTCAGAGTGGGTGTATCAAAGTCTAGACTGGTAGCCTTCCCATCCAAAACCTTTCATCCAAATAGACTGGTATTATATTCAGGTAAAACCTATGTAGCACGGATACGGGTACGCGGAAACGGGGAAACGGGTACGGGGATACGACAAAACCAAAAAAAGTAGGATATGGATATGGGGGTATATTTATAAATATTAAAAGTTATGGGGTGTATTTAAAATAATAAAAATTATGGGGTTGTATTTATAAATATTAAAAATTATAAGATTTTTTGGTTTGAAACATATACATGTATTATAATCTGACCCCTGCTCATTCATGACATTGAAGCATTTCACATTATCAAGATAGTTAGAAATAAATTCATATTGTAATTCATATATACTAGTGCATCTCAAAATATACATGTAGTCAATAATTTATTAATTTAAAATGACAAATGAGTCAAACAAACACAATTTTGAAATTAAAAGTGCAAGTACTCAAAGTGCTTGGATAATGGAGATGAAAACACTACTCTAATAAAGAAAAACTAAAAGTTCTAATACATATTTCCACTGGAGTTAACAATTTCCAGAGATAACATCGTTTTTAAAAAAGACAACCTCCTATTTTGGTTCATCTATGGAAAGGTTGGCGAATTCAAGTACTCCTTTATCCTCCATGCTCTCAAATGTCCACCAACATCCCAAATTTATATTATGTTAATTTTGGATATTTTATATTGTTGATACGTGTATCCGTCAGGATACGGGTATCCGAAATTTTAAAATAATTGCCGAAACAGGTGGAAACTTTTAATAAATTACAATACGACCTGGGAACGTATGGTATGGGTATCCTAGAGTATCTGATACGGGGACGTTTCTGATACGTTGATACGGTACTCTAGTGAAGTATTCGTGCATTATATTCAGGTAAAACCATTCCAAATTAATTAAACTGTGACATTAGTGTAACTTTCCAATCATATGATGAATGCAAACCAATGTTATTCTCAAAACAAATACAATTGAAATATCGATATCAGAAAATAGACATGCAGTCGAATAATGTAACAATAGAAAAATGTTGCAATAACATACTAAAAGGCCCGTTTGCAGCAAACAGAACAGAATGTTCAAACCTACATTTGCTTAAATAAATGCATACTTTATGAACAGGTACTGAAAACATAACCTTTTCACCTCTTGGTTTTCTGCAGAATCGAAGCGGTCTAGTCCGGCCCTGTTAATCAATCTAATCCGTTGGCGGTTCATGAAAAATCTCTGGGAGGCCCTGCCTCGCAAAGCGTACAGAGGGAAACGATGACACGGATTCAATCCAAATTTCGGGTAAAGGGGTCGTCTCAAGAGTACAGTCTGAAAATGGGAAGAAATATACGTGGCACAAGATGGACGGCTGTTTTGCTGGGGAGTAAGAGAGGATCGTACAAATTTGCATTTCCCTACATCTACATAGGATGCCATTGGATTGCAATGGACTTTGTGGAGATCAGAAGATACAGCAGCCCATGATCGCTAGACAAGAAAGTGCATAGCAGGGTTGGGGGAGGTTGGAGAGTGAAGGACGTTCTAACTGAACCAATGATACGAGCAATTCGGGCGCTGGGGCTAACATCAACCTAAATCTCTCCATAAATCCTATCTGTTCATTTAGTTAATTCAATTTTTAAGGTAATCCAGCACATTCAATATATTTGCTCAATAATTTTTTTAATTAATACATTGCTTTTATAAATGTATACCATTTTTTTTTCAATTTTGTTTTCGGGGATAATAATGACCTAAAAAATCAAACAATTCGATGTTAAAATAAATAAATTTGTTTTTTGTTATTTGAGAATCATTTTTCAAAAAATAACTTAAAGATGTAAAAATAATATTTTTGTTATAAAATGGAAGGAAATAAACAGAAGATCAGGGAGAGAAAATATAGTATGAACACTTAGTGATAGAGGTGTATTAGAGAGTGTGATATGGTGTAATCAAGGTGTGTTAATTACAATGGAGAAGTCTTTCTATTTATAGGGGAAAAGCTAAGCTTATTATGATTAGAGGATAATTGTGAACCACACAATTATCATCTAGAATCATAATTATGATTTCCTAATTATTTATACAATGGTGATAATAATTCCTAATCAGGAATAGTTGGAAGATGACTAATTCAATTATATTTCAACACTCCCCCTTGAATGGTCATCTTCTAATTATTCTGGAGTATTAGTATCATAGTATTATAATGTAGTGTCTCGTTAAAAACTTTTTTCAGGAAAAACCAGTGGGATAAAAATCCGACGAAGGGAAAAAGAGTGCAGTGCATTATATTACCCCCCCCCCCCCCCCCCCCCTCAATTTAACATATATCACGAAGACGACACATTCCAATTTTGTGGATCAGTTCTTCAAATTTCTTCGATGTCAATGGCTTTGTGAATAAATCAGCAGGGTTGTCGCAGGACTTTATTTGTTTGACATAAACTGTTCCTTCTTTCTCAAGATCATGTGTGGAGAAAAGTTTTGATGCTATATGCTTTGTTCTATCCCCTTTGATGTAACCTCCTTTGATCTGAGCTATACATGCTGTGTTATCTTCATAAATCACAGTAGGATTACAAGTAAAAGATTTTATACCGCATTCATTTTGTATGTGCTGGATCATTGATCTCAACCAGACACATTCTCGGCCTGCTTCATAGAGAGCAATTAATTCAGCATGATTTGATGATGTGGCAGTTAATGTTTGCTTCATTGATCTCCATGAGATAACGGTATCACCATAGGTGAATACATATCTTGTTTGTGATTTTGCCTTTTGTGGATCAGACCAGTACCCTGCATCAGCATAGCCAATTAAAGTGGCATTTGCACCATTCTTGAATTTCAATCCAAGATTGATTGTACCATTGAGATAGTGGAATATATGTTTGACGTCATTCCAATGTCTTCTTGTTGGGGAAGAATTGTACCTGGCTAATAAATTTACAGAAAAAGCAATATCTGGTCGGGTATTATTAGCCAAATACATTAACGCTCCAATAGCACTCAAATATGGTATTTCGAGACCAAGGATTTCTTCATCAACTACACAAGGTCGAAAAGGATCATCATGCACGTTAAGAGACCGAACCACCATTAGAGAATTTAGTGAGTGAGTTTTTTTCATGTAAACCCGCTTCAAAAGTTTCTGGGTATAATTTGATTGGTGGATAAAAATACAATTTCTCAAATGTTCAATTTGAATGACGAGACAAAATTTTGTTCTCGCAAGGTCTTTCATTTCAAATTCTTTCATGAGATATTTAGCAGTATTTTCAATTTAATTGGGAGTTACGATTATATTCAAATCATCAACATATACTGCAATTATGGCAAATCCTGATTCAGATTGTTGAATGAAAACACATGGACTAATAGGATCATTTTTGTATCATTCTTTGATCAAATATTCACTAAGACGGTTATACCACACGCGTCCAGATTGTTTTAATCCATATAATGACTTTTGCAATTTTATGGAAAATAAATCTCGAGATTTAGAGCTATAAGCATCAGGTATTTTAAATCCTCCAGGAATTCTCATATATATGTCTGTATCTAGTGAACCGTATAAATATGCGGTCATTACATCCATTAGGCGCATTTGCAGCCTTTCAAAAACAGACATGCCAATTAAAAATCGTAAAGTAGTAGCATCAACTACTGGAGAATATGTCTCATCATAATCGATTCCTGGCATTTGAGAAAAACCTTGGGCAACAAGTCGGGCTTTATATCTAACGATTTCATTTTTCTCGTTGCGTTTACGCACAAACACCCATTTAAAACCTACAGGTTTTACGCCTTTTGGCATGTGGGCAATTGGTCCAAAAACATTACGCTTTTCTAGCGATTTTAGTTCTACCTGAATCGCTTCATTCCATTTTGGCCAATCGTTTCTACGACGACATTCGTCAATAGATTTAGGCTCATTGTCATCGTGTTCATTCATTATATCTGTGGCGATGGCATATGAAAATATATCGTTAACATCAATATCTTTTCTATTCCATTGCATTCCATTAGAAACGTAATTGATTGAAATTTAAAAATTATCAACGTTTCTATCTTTATCTGGAATATTTACCTCTTCAAAGGTGATTGGATCCTCTTTTGAGGTATCCTTATATTTGATGTTATCTTCAATGCCGATATTATCAAAATGTTCATTTTCTTCTTGAGAAGGTTGAACTTCTTTGGCATCACAAACTACATCTTGTTTTTTAAATTTTCTTGGTTTCAACAGGGCCGGTCCTGTCAAATTTTGGGCCTATGGGCGGTACACTATCTTGGCCTTATATCCAAGATAGAAAGTAAATTATACTTACTTAAAATAAGAATTATGAAGCATAATAAATATATGAGAAATTATCCTAAAAAGGACTAAAACTGTTTTTATATTCCAAAATAAGAATATCGTGTTTTATTTCCTAAATACGAGTAATTATTGTCATGTTTTTGGAGTATCAGGCATTAAACATGACATTATTTACCAATCTTGGCAGTAATTACTTCTATTTGGTAGAATAAAAATATGACAGTCCTATTTTTAGAGTTATCAGACATTTTTACTCTTATTTCAAGAATTCTCCTTAAAATTATCTAATAAAGGTTATAAAGTAAAGATGAATTTACCATAAAAAAGTAAAGTGAAATTATATATATTAAAATTATCTAATATATAATTCACTTTAATATTATCTGAATTATATGTTTGGACAAAAGTAACAACAAATATCACAAAAAAACATTGTGCAGTGAAATCATCAATAATTGCTTTATAATCAATCTTTTTCAATATCTCATGTTCAATGCTTAAAATTGCTAATCCATTAAGATTTTTCAAGACATAGTCAATTGGGATGAAGGTTGAGGATTGAGAGGCACTGGAGTCCAAAGACAATAGTATAAATTGATAATTTTGTAACTAAAAGACATAAAAAAGTTTAGAGGCTAAAAAGATGTAAAGATGTGTGCTTTTATTGATTCAATAACATATGTGTTGATTTACAACCAGTTTTACTTAAAAATCAAAATTAAATGTTTATTCTTTGTAAAAACTTGTCTGGCTCTGATCAAGACTTTTCAGTTATGTTTTCAAATTTGCAAATTGTCAACAAAAATTATAAATTAAGCCTAATGAATTAATTGAATTTATAAATTAAAAGAAGTCTACTCACATTACATATAAAGAAAGTATTTTGGGCCTAATTTTCTTTCTACTTTTTTTCGGGCCTAGGGCGGTCGCCTCTGCTGCCCTCCCCCCAAGACCGGCCCTGAGTTTCAAATCTCTTGAACCAAGTGGTCTACCACATTTTTTACGTATCATAGATTCATTAGCAAGAGTTCTTTCGCTAATCTCCACAGTAATTTCTATTCGAGAAGGAGCATTCATAGCTGGAATATGTGACTTTGTCACTTTCTTTGAGTCTGTGAAAGCATCAAGCAATTGGTTTGCAACATTTTGTAAATGAATGATCTTTTGAATTTCTTGTTCACAAGCATTTGTGCGAGAATCAAGAAAAGATAAATTTGTTGCATTCCAAGTAATATCTTTCGTATGTGGGTCCATTTCTTTATTCTTCCCCTAAGGCTGGGAATACTGTCTCATCAAAATGACAGTCATCGAACCGTGCGGTGAATAAGTCACCAGTCATAGGTTTTAGAAATTAATAATTGAGAGAGATTTAAAACTAACATAAATTCTCAGCCTTCTTTGAGAACCCATTTTAGTACGATAAGGTGGAGCAATTGGTACATACACAGAACAACCAAATATTTTTATGTGTGATATATTTGATTCTTTACTAGATATTAATTGCAATGGGGAAAATTTATGATATGCAGTTGGCCTAAGCCAAATTAAATTTGCAGCATGCATTATAGCATATCCCCATGGAGATGATGGTAATCTGGATTTCATCAATAATGGTCTAGCAATTAATTGTAATCGCTTAATTAAGGATTCAGGAAGACCATTTTGTGTATGCACATGTGGAACTGGACGTTCCATATCAATCCCAATTGACATGCAATAGTCATTAAAAGATTGGGATGTAAACTCTCCTGCATTATGAAGTCGGATTTTCTTTATTGAATAATCCGGAAATTGTGATCTCAAACGAATAATTTGAGCAAGGAGATTTGCAAATGCAAAATTTCTAGTCGATAAAAGACTGACGTG